AATCGCCGATTTGCCGATCCGGATCGGTTTTTTGAAAGCCCGATCCGGGTCACCGGTCCGGTTTTTAAACCATTGATCTTAACCATTAAAGACTGTTTGTGCGCCTTTTAAGGGTGCGTCCACATATTGTGTACTCTATATCTATTCTTAAAAACAAAAAAACACAACAAAATGTTTTGTACGAGGGAGTAAATGTATATATGCTCCCGGGAGAACATAGTATAAAATTCCTCTCTCAAACAAAGATTTTCACTAATCAAACGTGGCTTACCAAACCCACATCTAGGGTAGAGACATCCGACAAGATATGGTGAAGTTTATTACAAAGTCTCAAATCAACCGTTATAACGATAATGCTAGCTGAAAAGGACAAAATTTGTGCACGGCGTCATGTAAAGGCAACGGGCAGGAAGTAGAAAACACATTCTAGTGAACTATATAACGGCCGTTATGTAATGGCTGTCTTGTTCCGATTATCTGTGAAGGCGCGAGTAAGTTCATAAGATAGATGTTAAACAAGAAATATATTAGTGAATTTTTTTTTTTTTTTTAAGAAACAGTGACATTTCATTACACATTCAACACCCGTTGCAGCAGCTTTGAGTCAACATACCCTTATAAAGAAAAACCAAAAAGGAAATTAAAAACTACATCTTAAACAACCAATGTTTAAAAAATCAGATCGGTGACTCGAATCGGTCTACCCATACCCGTGTCGGATCGGAGAATCGGTAGGTCGGATAGAAGAATCGACGGAATCGGTAGTTTTGTCTCAAAAAGTTTTCAAAAAATCACTATAAATCTCTATGATTAGTGTTCTTTTAGTTTCTAAATGTAATTATGAGTGATGCACTATGTACTTTCATTACTTTGTAAAATAGGTGAATATTGAGATGTTGTTTTCTTGGATGTATGTATAATTGTTAATTATAATATAATATTATAATATTATATCAAAATAATATCTATATTAAATAATAATATGTAGTTTTATTATTTGTAAAAATATGGGAATATTGAGAGATTGTTTCCTTGTTTGGATATCTATATAATAAATTATTATATGTAGTATTAAAATAATTTATCATACAATTAAGAATATTATATGTAGTATTAAAATAATTTATCATACAATTAAGAATAAATTTAAAATTTGTCTTATAACATCATCAACTATAAAAAAAATTTATTTGCAACTTTAACAAAAAATACTAATTATATAATGTAATATGATTAAAAATAAAAATAAAATCTCTTATAAGTTTCCA